TCTGCAATGTAATAAATAATGAGTCAGATCTTCTACCTGTGAGGTATTACAAATACATAAACGGTGTGTAGTTGGTAACCCTCTATATCTTCCGTCTAAATAGGCTGTTGGCATTGTTTTACTTACCATTTCACTTCCCCTTCAGTCATTAAGCAAGACATCACACGACTGTGAATTACAATTTTACTTCCACATTCTCCATTAACTCTGCTTGTCACAAGTTGGGTGTGAAAGGTCCAAATGGCGATCACGTGACCACAGGATGTTCAGATGGTCGTAAACGTGAGGATTGGTTGGAAAGCTTCTTTTTTTTTTTAGCGCTATCATAACTTCGAACAGTCACTAAACAGGCAGTCGGTAAGCTAAGGGCTACCTGTATATTAATGAATCAAGAGCTGAAGATTTCTATTTATTTGGCTGATGATACCGGGGCTTTAGTTAGTTAGACAAATATAATAGTTTAAGTTTGAACTGCATTTAGAATTCAAATTCTTCTTTAAGTATGCCTTGCTTGAATTTTCAAATAAAAAGATTATAACCATTTATAGCAAGTAAAATCAGTTAAGATTTTAATATTAATATTGTTTCTCAAGCAACGATTGATACCAGGTTCTTTTTAAATTCAGGGAGATCCAGGAAGTTCTGGACCCCAAGGAGAGAATGGTATTGATGGGCTTCCAGGGCCAAAGGTGAGCATCTAATTAAATAGCATAATGTGATTTGTAAGTGTCCTACATTCAGCTGAGAGTTTTTCTTTGCACCTCTTTTAGACATTGCAGGACAGGCAAGCAACCATTGGCCCAGGGAGGGACAGAGGCACAAATGGCTTCTGGAGCTAAAGGAGAATAAGACTACCATGTGCTCTGCTTAAAAACTAAGTTTTCCTTGGACGGCAGTAAAGTTAGCTAATCAGTGCTTGGAAACTTTTTTCCCATTTTTATCACTCTTCTTTCACACATGTGAAGTACGCAAGACAGGTTATCCCCAGGGAGCTAAAAGACAAGTTATAGAGCCAAAAGCAAGGAAAGGAAAAGGCTAGTACAGCTGAATGCTGACTTGCTTGACAGCTGTTTTCCATCGCACCTCTTCCAAATGCTGCAGAGAGAACCAGGAAGCATTGGGGTAAAGGGAGAAAAAAGCATAGATGGGCTACCAGGGCCAAAAGTAAAGAGAGCATGGGAAAAGCATGGGATGATTCGCACATGCACTGATTTTGATTCTGGAAGAACCAGAAATGTAAGATTGCCACTGACACATTCTCCTTTCTCAAGCACTGAGCTGGCAGGTACTTCATTAACTTTCTCTTGCTAAAAGAAGAGACTAGAAAAAGGAAGCTGAGGACCAAAATAAAAGATCTCTAATATTCTGGGACAAGAAGAAACCTTTATGAATGAGCACTCTTCTTACTGAGGTGAAGTGTTTGAGGGGTGATTCCATAGTTCTCCATGAGCCTTACACATTATTAAATGAATTGTGGCATAAAGGAGACATTTGATTTATTCATTAGATTTATATGGCCACTCAACTTATGCAACATAAGCCTGGGTGACTCACAACCCACAGTAAAAGCAATAAAAACAGTAAAAAACATAATAACACAAAAACTCCCAGCACCCCCAACTGCAACACATCCCCCCACATCTACAAAGACCTTTACTGGGCTCCTGTCAGGTTCAGCCCAAGAACAGCAATGAGGCAATCCAGTACAGTTCAGTTCCTTTATTAGCTTGCGCCTAATAGACAGAAT